CGCTTCTGCACGCTAAATAATCGCGTGCGCGCCATGCGTGGTGGCGTGGCAGCGGGCTTACGTGGATGATGATGACCGAGGTCGCTGACCGGCGTGGCAGGGGCCGTCGCGCCACCGATCTTGCCGCGTCGCGCCATAGCTAACGGCACGGCAATCCCATCTCAGCCGGCAACACTGTGAGTCCGCATGCAATGTCTGCCTCGTTCTTCCATGCATGTCCTGAGCAAGCTGAGCGCACGTCCATCGATCAGCTGCATACTGCCGTTTCTGCTGCTTGTGTTTCCGAGGACGGGATTGGATTAGCCTCCTCCATTCAATCGATAACGCACTAATCAAATAGTAGTACTAGGAGCAGGAGTACACTGGAGAGCGAGAGATGGCCTGTCTCGTCTCGTCATGTATACTGTCCCTGTCCAAACATACGGAGTACATTTTATATGAAGGCGAACTTTATATAAAAAGTTTACCTCTCAACGTGATATGTAACTTAATAGTTGAGAAGTTTTTATTTGAAATCATTTGGTCCCGGAATAAAATTTCAAACAACCTCATATTTTGGGCTGCGTGTGTGTTTGGCCAGTTGAAAACCACATTAAAAAAAAGGTGTCATGGAGATGTATAGTTGAGCTATATTGCAGCATTAAAACTTCGATTCAACATACTTTTTTCTTTTTTGTTTGCTAACCTTATCTTATTTATTTGGTGATCAATCAAAATGCAGAGTTTCTGATTGATAGCTATAACGCACCACAACGCACTAGGCTTTGCCTTTGATTTTTGGTGCTGTTCATCCGGTCGAACTGCTGCATGGCATGGTGCATGCACACCACCGCACCGGGGCGTGTGATGGTGACAGCACAGAGTAAAGGCTCGCCACGACGCCATGTATTCTGCCGCCGAGATACCGGCCACGTTAATGCCATTTAGGATTTTCTGTTGTGCACTGTCAGGTACCTTGGAGTCAAAATCTGTGATGCCGAGACGTGTTACCTCGCCGTCAGAACTCACAGCGCCGAACCCTAGGGTACTAAGATGAGTTTAAGTCTTTTAAGAAGTCAAACGTAAATTTTCTTCGAAAAAGAATCAAATAGTAAAAAAATAGAGCCTCCAGGCTCCAAGTCCCTGCGGAGGGCAGACATCCCTAGTTGAAACCGGAACAGGCACAAACACGATCGAGTTAACGAGGCCTTGTTTAAATTTAATGCGTAAAATTTTGAGTGTCGCAGGTGGTGTTTGGATACTAATAAAAAAATAAATTACAGAATCCGTCAATAATCCGTGAAACGAATTTATTAAGTCTAATTAATCCATCAATAACGCATGTGTTATTGTAGCACCACATTGTCAGATCATGAACTAATTATGCTTAAAAAATTTATCTCATAAATTAATCACAGACTATATAATTAATTATTTTAAGGGGCGTCTGTTCCATTAGTTATTTTAAGGGACGTCTATTCCATCATATGTTTGGATAGGGGCAGTATACATGATGAGACCAGACAGGTCATCTCTCGCTCTCTCCTACTCCTAGTACTACTATTTGATTATCCAATCCCGTCCTCGGAAACACAAGCAGCAGAAACGGCAGCATGCAGCTGATCGATGGACGTGCGCTCAGCTTGCTCAGGACATGCATGGAAGAACGAGGCAGACATCGCATACGGACTCATAGTGCTGTCGGCTGAGATGCGCAGACCTGGGACTGCCGCGCCGTTAGCTATTGCGCGTCACATACCAAGATCGGTAGCGCGGCAGCCCCTGTCATGTCACCGATTAGCGCCCTCCGTTGTCGCCACGTCAGTCCGCTGCTGCGCCACCATGCATGACGCGGCACAGGCATTTGGCCGCGTCAGGACAATAGGCGCGGCTAAAAGTGTTAGTTTTAAAAAATAAAAACCGACAGTGTTAGATTTAAAATCAGTTTTTGTTTTTGTTTTTGAAAATAATCAGTTTTTGGTTTTTCATTGTGTCTACTTCAGTTGTCAGTATCCATTTTTCATTTTTTGGTTATCAATTTCAGTTTCATTTTTTTATTGTGTCTACTTTAGTTTTTAGTTTTTATTTGTCATTTTCAGTTAAATTTTTTCATTGTCAATTTTTGTTTCAAATCTTGGTAATTTCATTTTCAATTATTTGTTTTCGTTGTATCTATTTTAGTTTTTAGTTTTTATTTGTTAATTTTAGTTTAATTTTCTTGTTGTCAATTTCAATTTCAGCTTTGTGTTTTCTATTGTGTCTACTTTAGTTTTTAGTTTTTAGTTTTCAGTCAATTTTTTTAATTTTTTAGTATCAGACAGTTTTAGTTTCAGTTTTCATTCACCCTTTTAAGTTTGAATGCCTTCCTAAATTCTACATATTAGTTGTCCCACCTACAGTATATAAGTTGTCACAGAAGGGTAGCCATTGCATACATAAGTTGCCATAAAAGAAAAAGCACATACACATACAAGGCAGAAGATAGATTGGGTTGGGATTAGGGGTGGCAACAAGTATTAGGATTAGATGTTGCAGAAAGTATTAGGATTAGAGGTCGCAGATTGGGTTGTATAATAACTTGTCTCCCTAATTGACAACTTATTTTATGCTTATTTTAATAATTTGCCCCATAGGTTACATATTATCTTGTTTTGGGTCACTACTCTTGTTTTTTTAATAATTTCCCTAGCTGGTAGCTAGTTGCATTGTTTCTACATGATTTATTACTCGTTTTACATTATATAAGTTGCAACAAACTCTCATTAGCAACTCGATCCATGTAATTTGCTTTTAAAATACTATGATATAGGGCTAGTACCTTAATATAAATACTATATAACAATTATATTATATTTTCACGATATAACTATCGATGTGCATACTATATAAAAATTTTAGTATATTTTTATAGTAGCAACTTTAGTAATACATGGTAGTAATTCCTTTAATAAATCTCCTAGCACATATTTACACATAATTTGCTACTAAAATAAAAATTTTCGAAATATATGCAAGTGAGGTATAATTTTGTTTGTTTTGTCACGTAGAATACACTGGCACAAACGAAATTGAAAACGGATACAACAATCAAAATCTATAGCAATTCAAAGGAAATACGGAGGATTTTGTTTCTTTTGTTTGCGTGCCGCCTTGGACCATAGGCAGGCAGCTGGTTTGTCGGGGGCGCATGCACTGACCTGTTGTGGATCTCGCGTGGGGCTGCTAGGGTCGCGCGTTTTCGTATTGCGCGACGGGTCGCGCAGTATCCATGTCCATAGGAGATTCAAGGCGACTAGGGGAGGCGTATCCCAAATTCCCAATTTGCAGCCGTCCGTAGTAGCGTCATAGCGAGAGTGTCGAGCGGTCGAGCCAAACCGAATCCGGGAACCCTCGCTAGTCGCTACTCCCCTCCGCTCTGCCTCCGGGGCTCCGGGCACCCGAGCCTTCGCCGCCCGCCGATTGGAGCTGCATCCTCCAGTGATCTCATCGTCGACTGGACTGGAGTTTGATCGATTTTTTTTCTTGCCCGGGTATAAATAAGTATTATTGTAAAACATACGAACTGTTTCAGAAAGGAGAAGGAGAAATTATAATCCTAATCCGTCTGTATATGGCCTCTTACTAAACTCTTAGGCCCTGGTAGAACTATATAGACACAAGATAGGGAGACTATTCTTTATTCATCTAATGTCTATTTGTTCTTCAACTTTCATCTACTGTATTGATCATGAGAGACGAAGAGGAAAAAGTCCTAACCACTGGCGACATGTTTTATAACACGTTATCAGCACGGCAAACTCTTCGTCGACATCGCCGTTGAAGCTATCGCCGATCTTCGATGCCGGCGCTTGTACAGTCGATATCCTGCCGCGACTACTTCGACGATGCCGACATCCCCGACGTTGTTAGCGGAACAGATCTGCTACCTCTACCCGTATCTAATCTGCACTGCATCGACGTGCACCGTTGTCGAGCAGGCAGTTCTACAACAATGTCAAACGCCCTACACGGTATGTCACCGCGTTCAGCTGGTATAGTTCCAGCTTGTTTCAGCTTATTCTCTCTCACAAAATACTATTCAATCATTCAAAAAAATCCAAAAAACACTGTTCAGGTGACCCTCTGAACAAGCTGTCGCGATATGTGAGGTAGATCAAATTGACATCCTTTACGAGGTATGAAAGAATTGCATCTCGCTGATCGCATAAGTGCCGAGCCGTCGAGCTAGGCTATTATTTTATCATGTGTATTGTACTATTGTACACGTGCATGGTTTTATGTGTACACATACATGGATGCGTAATGGGATTTGTACGTCACCATCATCTAGGATTAAGGCCCCGTTTGGGCGGATCCTGTCGGCTGATAGGTGCCAACGCGAGCAGGAGCCGTGGGAGCCCGAAAAACGAGGAGGGGGATAGTGAAAAACAACTTTGGTGAACAGTAACATCCTGTCGGTCGCCCACGAGCCGACAGGAGGGACCTAAATAAAAAACAGAAAAAGGCTCGATTCACGAAACCATGATCTTGGCCTATCATGCACAATCTCATTAGCCCTGAAGCTACCTCATTGATCATGGCCATTGCATAGCGTTAAGCTTAATTATCCTAGACCACCTCCACGCGGATCTGCAGACTGCGTGCGTCTCGGCTAGCAGCCGTCCTATGGGCGACCGCAAGTCGTCACCAGCTTGAAGCCACGGGCCTACGGGACCCAACCGATTGTGCATGTACCATGGCTGGATGTGGCCGGCACCTAGTTCTATTGCCTGTGCTCGATCTCAGCCTGTAGCTGACGCCCAGAGAATACACCAGCAAACGTCGCATGTGCCCGATCTCGTTCATCGCCGCTAGCTACGGCCTGCATGTCGTTGTTGCCAAACTGTAATCCTTCGCTGTCCGTGTGCTATTGCATATGCCCGCCTGAACATGAGCATCCGCTACCCTGCAGCGTAGCTAGCCCTCATGGTCGGGCTTGAAGCCTCCATTGATATTACCCGAGACCGGCTTGCCAAGTTGCCATGACTCGGCACAGCATCGCGCAATCCGGCATGAACGACACTTTTATGTGGCCACCCACACGAGGCTCGCAGCCTAAGCGTGTTGCACTACAGAAAAGCGGCATGAAGCGCTGTATTGATATTATCTAGTACGCACTACGGAGGAGTATATGGTAAATTGATCACAATGATCATTATCCACTACATCAAGCAGCTAGCCGCTGATAGATTGATTTAGAAACCCGTAGTTTCAATATTCTAATCTAATATATATTCTGACTGGTCTATGTACGATGAATTAGTTAATTGATGCTAGCATGCATCTCATCACCGTCGCAGATATGCAAGCTCGCAACTACTCGTACGGACGTACCACATGTTGCCTCATATAAGGTGTTACGCCCTAAACAAATTACTAAATCGTATCATGAGCATCGTGTTTATGTCATAATACATGTGATAGAAGGTGTTGATAAATTTCTTGTAGCCTAAAATGACCAATAAAAATGTTAAATGAAAATTTATTCGATAACTCATGTTATGTCAAGTAGGGTGGAAGATCAATTTTTATTGAGCAAAAGTATTATAGAACATGTGTGTGACACCTAAATAAGGTTTGAAGTATAAACTTTGTAGATGACAATGCAACTCTTGCTGTAAAAAAATTATATGACTCGCTAGTATTTCTAATGGCTTGGAAATGAAACTTGAAGTCAAATTCAGCTCAAGACTTGAAAGAAATTTTAAGTTTGAAAACAGCGTGACAATGCCTTATTGGTGAATTAATTATGGAAATATAGCTAAAGGTCAATGCTATGTTTTTGCTCCTTATGGTAGACTGTTGTACCATCGTTAGCATGGTTGAGGTAGTTTAGCTTCAACTGTGTTAGGTTAGTTTTTAGACGCGCTTTAAAATTCATGCATGTGCCTGGCCTGTGCGCACGGTCACCTCGCGCGGCCGCTCGGCGTCGCGCTGCTGGCCGCGTTCCGCGGGCCGCGGTGCCGATGCCCAGTCGGCCTGTATGGCCGTGGGTTGGCCGTGGCCGGCCCAGCGGGCCGCTGTCGTCGCCCTGCAGATTCCACAGTGGATGATCACATTGATAAAGCGATGTCATCTCTTGCAGAAGCAGTTAGAAGCATGTTGTCTCCTTCCCGCAGAAAGACAGTCATCACCAGACTTTGTGTTTCACTGGCCATAGCCAACAGGTACTCGAGTGAAATCGGTCATCTTGTTAATGAAGTGGTTGAAAATGGAATGGTAGAAGATATAGAGCTCACAAGTGGGGTTGAGAGGACCCCGGGCGCTGTCAGTGATGAAGAAATGGAAAATCACGCAAATGCTGTGAATGGTTTCTTTGGTAACTATCCAAATATATCTTGTTGCCTCACAAGACTCCTCCTTTTTAATGCAACCTTTGCGGAATCAGATCTACATAATCTCATTGCAAATGTATGCACATAACTTCGTTATCTTTATCTCAGCCAGTGTGATACTGGCTTCCAATCAACATTCAAGATAGATGCACCAAACTCAAAACTCAACATTCTAGAACTTGTCCACTGTTATTTTGCGCAAGTTGAGTTGCATTGCCTTCCTATGCTAGAGAAAGTCATATTTGGCTTTTGGCTAACTAGATGTGTGCCCTTGACTTGGGGATACATCCCATGCCTCAAGGAAGTGGAAATCTTTTCAGCCATGCCCCCTCCTCAGGAACCATATATTCAAGTTAAGTGAGTTTCTACGCGGTACGACATGTATAAATACTTTATCATTGGATTTCCTTGGGCAAAAGGTTATACATTCATATATTCAGTCACTACTGTCTCTACAATTGTCGTCAGTTCTGGCCTTATGCCTAGGCAAAGTATTAACTTTTGAGCACAACAATGACATTATGTTTTGTGTATCTTACTGTTTGGAAGACTTTCTTGATATAGGTTTGTTTTAATTACATTGGATGATCATGTAGAACTGATTGATTTGTGATCATTCATTTAGGGAGCATATTTGCTCAAATACTCACCGAACTTTTTTTTTCTTGTTTTCATTCACTAACTGAACATTTCCCCCTGTTTTCTTTCTTTCTCAACTCTCCAGATTTGGCTACTACCTGAAAAACATCAACTTTCCTCAGCATTTAGCAATTTGAGGAAATTGTGTATATATGATGTCTTTGTTGGATTTGGCCTTTTGTGGACAACAGCTCTTCTTGAAGCTGCGCCATCCCTCGAGATACTTGAAGTTGAGGTACTTTTGCAGTTTTGCTTGTTTCTTTACCAATTCAGCAAATCCTTTTTATTAAGAAAAAATATCCAATGACCTTTATGCCTTTGTCATTTATGAGTATTGCTGAGTGATTCATGTGGTGGAAGAGTGTGCCTAATAGAATTAATGGATTTGGTACAACGATACTTACATTAAGTTGTAAAATGGTTAGCGTCATCAATCTTTTTCTTCGTTTAAGGTGATCTATTGGAGGTGAACTTGTTAAATTCTTTAATTGATAAACCACCACCAAAATTTACTGGGTTGACAATGGGACTTAATGGTTTGGCCTGTTAAACAATAATCATGTTCTATTCCATTGTCATGTATAGGTGGCTGTTGCTTTTGTACCTCTACTATTGTCGTATGTGCCAAAATGTACAACAAAGCACGTGAGAAGGCCTTATACTTATGCCTCTCCAAAATCTTGTCATGGACCTAGTGATTAAGCATGAACAACTACAAGTTTACTATATTTGCTACTAGTTCAGGTACAAGCTAGATTCTTAGAATGCCAATTCAAAACTTATTAAACTTTGGCCGGTACCATATGTCAGAAAATTGGGTTCATCTAACAAGAATGATATATAAATTGATTCATCACCAAATGTATTATTTTTGTTAATTTGAAATAAGCAATGACCAAAGTATGTGTAAAGGGGACCGTTTCCATGTTATATGTTATGTAGTAGGTAAATCAGATTGGACATACTAATCAGTAGGCACTTTCTCAAAATTTTGAAAATATCACCTCATGAATCATGAGAGTGAAGATGCAGTGCAAGAATTGTTGGTGGCGTCATCATATATATGGGAGAAATGAGCATGATTCCTAGCTGTCATCATGCAACGTTTTCATGACGAAAGTTAACACAAAGATATACATACATATACGCACGTGCTATGTTCCCTGCAAATAAATATTTGTGACTATTGAAAAGAACAACTTAGTCCATTTAATCATTTTCACTTCATAAAACATGTTTATGCAGGTGTATGACCATCGATGCGAGGAGGACAAGAAAGTAACTGAGACGTGTGCTGAAAGAACTAATGCGCCATGGGAAGTGTCAGAATTTGCATACCCGAAGCATTTGCCACTGAAAGAGCTCGAAATCATTGGTTTCAATGCATCAGAAGAACATCTAGTGTTTATAGGAGCAGTGATGGAGCGGGCTTCTAACTTACAGTCGGTTGTTTTGAAAGACAAGCGCTGTAAGGAATGCGAAGCAACCAGTACAGCGTCAGTAAAACGTAAATTTCCAGAAAATGAAGATGGACAAGAGCTGGTAGTGAATAAGCTCAGAGACCGGTTCTCCTCCAGTGCTCAGATAATTTTCAGTGACTGCAAGGTTGTCAGCGAATGTGTGTTTGCCTGAAATGAAAAAGATACTGAAGATTGTTCATGTTTGACTATATGTATTGCTCGTCGCTATGGTCTATGGTTTTCTTATAAAATCAAGCTGCCAGCATAATCTGTTTCAGAAAAGGTACGAGTGGTTCATTAATATTAATCTAGGCTTTGTGAGTTGTATAATAACCATTGTTCGCCTAAATAGTTGTTTGGCTCGTTTACACCCCGTTTAAATGCTATATAGCAGTACACCATTTCTGTTTAATTCATTGTATATAATATTTAAAAAAATCCACTTTTAGTCCTCAAACTGTGTAATTTAGCTCTCGACCTTAAGCTCTAAAACCGAACATGGGCGACCATACAACTATTAAAATCGGATAATTTTGGCCCTTAGCTGGTTTCAAAGGTGGTTTTGAGTATTATGTAAAATGATAGGCAAATTGCTAAAATTCATAAATAATTTTTTCAAATTAGAAAAATATGAAATTGATACCATTTTTTTTAAATGATCTATATCATCAAGATAACTTTAGTTTTGTTAATTTATTCATCCGAGCTGATTTTAACAATCCAAAAAATTTGAATTTCAAAAGATAAGAATTTGAAACGGAATTTTGGGACCATAACGATTTCAAATGAAACAATCATCAACTACAAGATCTACATTTTTGGTTTTTGGTCATTTCTCCATTCGAGTTTGTTCTAATATTCAAAAAATTTGAATTTCAAAATATGAGATCTTCCAACATAATTATAGGACCGTAAATGATTTCAAATAAAAGGTTCTCATCCATAAAGTTGCAGATCTCATCGAGATCTACAACTTTAGTATTGTCCATTTTTCTTTATGAGTTCGTTCGAATAATCCAAAAAAAATCAAAATAAGAGAACTCTGGGTCCTACTAATTGAATTGTTAAGTATGTTTTTTCCCTTTCGAGAAATTAGTACCAAAAATGTCGAGTTAGCGACTGTACCAAATGGTGAATGCCTCTGGGGTTCCCCCTTCTCTTCAACTCTCTCCAGTTTCACCGATGTGTTATGGCATGAAAGGCAATGGTCAGAAACCTACTTTCAAAGGTTACCAGACATGGGTTTAGCTACACGGAGCATCTCTTTCTCAACCTTCGTCAGGTCGTTTAGCACGAACATCACTGTCAGTGTAGGAAAATTTTGGGAATGTAAATGATTCCAAATAAAACAATCATCAACTACCGAGTTGTATCTACAGCTCTAGTTTTGGTCATTTCTCCATCCGAGTTCGTTCGAATAGTTCAAAAGTTTAAATTTAAAAAAGAGAACTTCAAAAATCTATTTGAAATAAAATAATATTTAAACTTCTAAATATTCATAACTAATTTATTTTAAATAGATATATCATATTTTTAGAAAAACAAATTGGTACCAACTTTATAATTTTCTAATTTAATAAAAAGAACTATTTATGAATTTTAACGATTTACCTATTACTGTATTATTTTTAGAAAATACATATATACTCAAAACCACCTTTGAAACCAAGCCAATTTGTCTTGTTTCCCGAAAGGGAAAAACATACTTAACAATTTGATTGGCAGGACCAAGAGTTTCTTGTATTTTAAAATTTAAATTTTATGAATTGTTTGAACGAATTTGAATGGAGAAATAGTCAAAATCATAGTTGTAGATCTCGATTATAGATGAGAACTTTTTTCATTTGAAATCATTTACCGTTCTAAAATTATGTTGGAAGATCCCATATTTTGAAATTCGGTTTTTTTGAATTGTTTGAACGAACACGGATGGAAGATCTCATATTTTTTGAATTGTTTCCACTGGTGCACGGTGTCAGCAGCAGCGTGCTCGCGTAGCTTCGCAGCGAGATGGACAGCCAGAAGAGCGTCGTCGCCGTGCTGCGCATGCTCTCGGGCACCTGGTCGTACATGAATTTGAGATGCCCCACGGAGGTGAACGCCGTGCCGCGCGTACTGTGGCACCAGCCAGTAGCCCGACAGCGGAGACGCACCGGCGTCCGTGGCGCTGGCCGCCGCCGCGGCCTCCCTGTGGTGCCGCTTCACGAAGCCGGCAACCAGGGTGGCGAGCGAGCATGCTGATGGCGAAGCCGATGCCCATGCGGTGGAGGAAGGAGATGCCGCGGTCCAGCCCCGTGAAGGGGCCCGCCACGCGGGCAAGCGCGCGGTCCTACAAGAAGAGGGTGAAGAGCATGGCCCGCGGCGGTCCATGGTGCTCACCTGCTCGTGGCTGTCCATACGGATCACCGACTCGAGCTCCTCCACGCGTTGCACGGTGCTCAGAGGCCATGGGTTCGGGACGGGGGCTGACGACGGCTTGCCTGAGTTCGCGTCCGTCAGCGTGACCAGGTCGCCGTCGGTGACGATCGCGGCGCGGTCTGCATGCCGGGAAACGGTGTTATTCGAACTCAAATTTGGAGTGACAATTCTCCTGCAACTAAAAACTATGAAGCGTGAACACTTTTCTGGTGGTACATTCGTCCATCGTCCAGCCTACCGCCCGTGCGATACCCGCTCCCGTGATTCTGGCCGCGGGGCTTTCACCTTGTCTTCCCTCATGAAAGTTCACCCGGCTTCCACCTCGCCTCCCCCACGATAGCTGGGCCCGGCGCTCCCACGTCCGTCCCCTCGCGAAAGTCCACTCACGTCCGGTATCATATCCACGGCGACAAAAGGAAACCTCGCTCCCTCGCGATTCCTGCGGCCGGCAGTTTCGCTCCATCCACGGCGCGAACCGTCGCGGGCGGTCGTCACCGTCGGGCCCTCGGCCGCCATCATCTCCACCGACGCTGCCGCCGGCGAGCCCGCTGACCACGCGCCTGGCCACCGCCACCGTCGCCGCCACGCCGGGATGGATTCCTAGGGTTTCAATCACCTTGATGGAGTCCTCCAGCGATGGGGGCTCTGGTGCAGAGGATTTGTATCCAATCACTGCTGACAACTGCAACCAAGCCCTCCTCTAGAGTCTCCGCCACACCACTGCGGCAACCGCAACCACGAGCTCGCCCATGTTGAGGACGCCGGCGACCTCCACATCGTCGGTGACGCTGAGCCCTCGGTGAAATCCCCTCCATCACCGTCAAGTGAGCATTCATTCTGAAACTCGCTATTGTTTTTTTAGAACTGATATCGATTCTTTTGTTCCTGTGAAGTTGATCTGATGTTTCTGAAGCACGACTTATATACCAATAACAGCTCAAATATTCAGTTTTTCTAACTGTGGGATCCGTGGGTTGGCATGCTCGTTTGTTTGCAATCTGGAGAGAGTATTGACCTGGCGAGCCTCTCTTCTAAGCATAGAAGTTTATTGACCTGCTGATGAAGTGATGATAGAAGTATGCCTTTGTTCCTGTGGTTCTGACATGTGTTTGAGGAAATGATATACTGATCTGAAGGAAGCTACAGGTAAATACATTCAGATGGATAGAAATAATTTCTGGTTTTCCCAAAGGAAATGACTAATAAACAACTCAGACAATCCTAATACATTGTTTTTTGTGTATGGGTTTAATCAATAGAATTAGTCGTGAGAGCTCCAAGTGAAACTTACTTCAATATTGTGTGTTGTAGGCAGGTAGCTCAGATGTTATTCCGATCATTTGCGTGCTGTTATGCTGTATCTCAGAAGTGAAAAAACATGATTGCTGCATGCATTTACAGATTTCAAATGGATAGATATGTGTTAGTGTTCCTAGATGAATTTCTCTATTACCCAATGCAGCAAAGAAATTCATTGTTGGCACCTGAGTTGTTAGCCCAGAGGACAAAAGCGATACAGTAAAAAAAAGAAATTTTGGTTCGTGTTGTACAATGATTTGGTATGCATTTCTTAATTTTAAGCGGTTGTTTTTACAAACTTCTGTGACCCAGTAGCCTAACCAAAGTCTACTTTATTTTCCCTCTGATGACTTGACTACATTTTATTACTATCGTAATTGGTCTGGTGAATACCCCTAGCAACAGTTCTGATGATCTCTTCACATATGTTTATTAGAATCGTCTAGAAAGAGGTGTTAACTCCATAGCTGAGGTAATATATCTCATTTATTACATTTGTTTAATATTTTATTTTGTAAATGTTAATGCTAAAAAAGCAGTGGCAGCAGGATGTTGGAGCGAGACAGGGGGGGTAGAAGCCACTGTATTTTTCATAAGGTTGCGGGGAGGCACGCTGAGGGAGCCGAAAAAATTGAACGTGTGGAGCGGATAGTGTTTGACATGCTGAAGATGTGTGTCGACCATACCTTTAATGCCTCTTTGAGGAGTAAAGATATTTCTGGCCTTATTTTGCTATTACCACACTTAATATGTATTATTTTACTATTTTGGTCTAAATTATTCATTTTTTTGTATGCAAAATGATGCTTCTCACTGTGATGCAGACTCAACAAGCTATTGGACACAAGTGGTCTGAAATTGCAAAGATGTCTTATGATGAAATATTTTCCTTCCCTTTGATCAATTTTGGTCATGCTGAATTTGTGCCAAACTGAAGAGTTTTTAGATATTGAGTCCCATTTTCTTTTCATCTCACAGGGCCTAAAACAGGCCTCTCACTAACTGTGTTTCAGATTCTATTGTTTCCCAAAACAGGCCTCATTGACTCATTGGGCTTGATCATTTTCTATGGCAGCGGTGAGACACAGTTGTACAAAGCTCTCGGTGCCCATGGATGGCGCCAAGGTGGTGGCGGTGGCCGCTGGCAGTGTCTTCGTCAAAACTACATGGCTGCCCTTCCGCTTCTCCCTGGCCATGACTGACGGTGCTGATGCCAAGGTGCACCTCCACTGTGAGCAGTGGGACCAAACCATTGCCGAGCACCTCGTCCTTGCCGAGCGCTACCTTGCCTTCCACCAGCCTGATGCCATGTACTCCTTTCACGACGTAGGCAAAGGACAAGGTATGGTCAGTCCATCCGGTTTTTTTCGCCCATTTTTTCATCTTACTGTCCTGCTGGGTACATAACTGTTGTTGAGTAGATTGGATTAGCTAGCTGATACATATGCATATTCAATTTTAATGGACACAAGTTTGCAAGAGCTGTTATTTCAGGTTTACACTACAACGTTTGATCCTCATTCAGGTCATTTTGCTCAAGGGAGTAGTGCAGGTGATGTTAAAAGGAGAGTTCAGGTCTTCCTTTTCTTAGTTTATTAAGTCGCAGACTTCCATCTGCAATTTTGGATTTCAGCCTTGATCTACTGATCTGTTCTCAAATTCATATGGACATATGCTGACCAGTTGCTTAAAAAACATGAACCGATTCTTCAAAAAACTAAAGTTATAAACATTTTTAGATTAAGGTGCCACTAGATGCCTACATTTTACTTTCCCATTTATAAATCAATATAGCCTGGAGCTTATATTCGGTTTACAACATTTTAGCTTCTGTTCTACATAATCAGTTCAGAACATAGAGGATAGTTTGCACTAACCAAGTCACAATTTCTTGCTTTTGCAAATCTATTGCTACAACACGCCAAATATTAGCATGCAGACAAAAACGGTATGTCCAACTTAGTGATTTGGATATGGCATGCGTGGTCATCAGAACATTTTCATAATAAATTTGTTCATAATTTGGAGTTTTTCCGTCTATCTTGTTAGTGTGTACTAAGCCACAGGGTTTGTACCTCAGTGTAGTCATCAGGTTCTTTAAAATGCACCATAGGATATGAAAGGATGGAGGGAAATCTCCTTAAGCTGTTGCAGTTTACCTTCTCTGTTTCAGTTCAATTAGTTTCCTTTCTACTTCCCTTACTGTTTTTCTTCTTCTTTTTTCATGTGTTCACCAACTGATGTTCAGGATGCATCTGTGTGTCGTGACATGCTGCAAGGGTAGCTCACCTTTGCATATTCATGGATTGGTCCTGGATTTCAACAACCAGGAAAGCAAGAAGACTAATGAATTGATCATTTAGAGTATAATGATCAATTCTAGCAAATCGTGTCACAAGATTGTCAATGATGCTTTGGCTTACCTCTGATAGATGGAATGTAATCTGAAATCTTTTATTCTTTTTAGCTGACAATTAGTAGTTTGACATTAAGGTGGTTTACGTAGGCTATATAATCCTTTTTTTTTAGTAAATTTAAATATATACCACTATATATCTTTGCTTTTAAAAATATTAAGGCATGTATACATCATTTATATGTTTTGCTTGCCATGATATCAGGAATAAGCACAAAGCACATGCATGGTATAAGGTATGACAGGTCATATATTTGTATGAATTTGTGGTTTTCAAGTTGATCATGTGGAAAAGTTTGAATGCAAGTTTATTATCTCCACTGAACTTAGAGTTTAGGGGGAAAATACAATAACGAAGACGAACGCTGCTTTAGGATGTCAATTCCTTTATTCGACTGAACCAAATACAGGTTGCTGCCATGGAGATGGATTCTGCTAAATGTATGATCCATTTGTTTATGTTAATGTTGCTGACTGCCTGCAGCATAGAGGATTGTATGCTATGTCTTTATGCTTTTGATTACTTGTAATTGAGCACATATAGAGCACTTGTTTTTTTTTAGCAGAATATAGAGCACTTGTTTGCCATGCATGGCGGGATTATGTGAGGATAGGTTTGTGACACAATAGCTTTCTTGTGTCATTTAGACATGGTTTTCAAGCTAACATGGCAATGCGGGCAGATCCTTTGCAGTGGACGGAGTGTGTCAGGCATTACTTTTGTTTCCGCATTAGGTGGCCGGATAATATTTTGTTCCTGTTGCAACGCACGGGCATTTATTTGGCCATGCTACTATGCTACTTTGTTTAGTATTGTGATACAATTATAGAAATAATCTTTTTTTACATTTTGTTGTTTGTAAATTGTAATGTGGATGAAGAAGGGTGCTAGCACTAGCATATTTGCATCGTGGGAGAAAGCTAGCACTGGTAAATTTTTTTTACATGGAATCACGACAAAATAGGAAGTAGAAAATTATTGTGCTATCCATATACACATTGCATATTCGCATGCACCAGCATACATGGCAATGAGCCTCTCTCGGCTCCCCTGCGCCTTGCTCCAAGGAAAGAATTAACATAGAAGCAAAGAGAATTAAGACAAAAGGTAAGAGAGAGACTGCTATCAATCATCTGCTATAAATCCTATGGCCTCGCCATAGCGCCCACCCTCGCCAGCTGAGCTCGCCCTCGCTCGCACCGGCCTCCGCCCTCGCGCCCTCCCTTGCGCACTCGCTGTGCTTCGCCATAGCGCGTCGCCATCGCCTTCGCCGTCTTGATGTGCCCTCGAGGAGGACTGCGGACTGCCATGAGGAGCTTCCAACATCTTCTGTCTTCCATAAACGTCCACCCTGTTAGTGAATCACATCCTGCCCTGATGCGTTTCTTTATTTGTTATTGCCTCCAATGCTTGTGTGATCTGAAAGCATGCCTCTTTAAGAGTCTTGGATAGATACGTGCAGAGGCTATGTGATGCGTGTTGTCGTGGTAGTGGTTTGGGAATGGTTGGTCCAGTAATTCGTCATAAACCCTCTGTGTTTCTGCTTGAAGTTCTTAGACTGTGAACCTCTATCTGTGTCTGAAATCGAATCGTTACCGCAACCATTCTGGTTACTTTGATTTATTGTTTATTCCCTGTGTTCCATCTTTCAATTGAGCTGTCATGATCCTTATAGATTCAAATGGCTGAGTATCCCTGTTATGACTGTTGAATTGAATGATGATTAGCACTGGCTCGATCGCTCCATGATCTGGTTCTACAAGTCTACTATAGCAACAGTTCCTTTGCTTAACTTTCTTTTACCATTGAGTAAAAGTTTCAGCAAACAATCACTTTTACGGTAACCATCAGTTGCATCACTGGTTTATTTTTTGAGACGTTCATCACTGGGTTGATGCCGTTGATGCAAGTTGCAACTGCTAACAAACCTGCAACATTAGCTGGAGCAGCAACACAAGCCATCCGGAAAAAAGGGGGGAAAAGCAGCAACCGTGTCGCTTGCACTGTTGCACAAGCGCCACCTCCGGAATGACTGAACGAGAGAACAGAGCACACACACCACATTGCAAAAGTGACCGGCGCCAATTTTAGTGAGTCATTTCGACAATTCGACGTCTGCGTCTCGTCTCGGCTGTACACGTGCTCACCGGCATCTGCGACCGTCTACGAGACGACGAGCGCGTGGCTTGCTGCTGTGCTGTAGTCGTGGCGATGGCCAATGGACCTGCCACGAGCCCATGAGCTGCCGCAAGCCTGCAACGAATGTATAGCCCACGTGTAGTAGTGTTTAGGCTCAAACGTAACCACTGTGGACAGTTCCAGATCCTTCTGGCCCGTCCAGCCGTCCCTGCCCTGGTCGTGCGTCCTTCTTTCCCACGCTCCAAGAAAGAAAACCAGAGGCACCCGCTGTCCGCCTTCCCCCAAATCTGTTTGTTTCCCACGACGCAAGAAAGAAATAAAAAAATAGTAGAATACGCGCGCCCTCCGCGTACGTGGATAAACAAAAGATGGCTGTTATATAGAATGCATCCACCCTTTTAGTGAATCCCATCCTGCTCTGATGCGTTTCTTTATTTGTTATTGCCTCTGGTGCTTGTGTGATCTGAAATCATGCCTCTTTAAGAGTCTTGGATAGATACGTGCAGAGGCTATGTGATGCATGTTGGGATCTCTGGCTAATGCAAGGCTTAGCTCCTTTTATCTCTTTATAAAATTTATTCCCTGTATTTCTTGGAGCATGTAAATCCTAAAAATTTCATGGCCCTGTTTGGATTGGATTTCTGGAGACTACACAACTCCAATAATAAATCATATAAACAAAAAATTATTTCTAAGGCATCATGATAGCCACCAAAACATGATCTCATTTTGGTGGTTTAATTTGCATCACAATCTATCATCGTATACTGCAGTTCAATTTTTGTTGGCACGTGGCCACGCACGGGCATCAAATTTGCGGTCATATATGCTAACAAATTAACAATGTAGGTGTTGTAGTTATTTCAGAGGCCTTACATGACATCATCAAGATAACAGGACAGAGGCATAGAGCATGCGAACAACTTTAAATCTTTAATTGTTTGTCGATCTCCATAGAATAATAGTATATTATGTTCATACTGACTAATATCATCCTGTATATTTTTCATGATTTTGGTTTCTCAGTTGCCGATATGGGTTCTGGCTGTCGGTTGCTCAAAAGAAAGAGGGTGTACGCTGACCCGCCGCCTGCAATCACCGATACACACATCTACAGGTAACTACGTTACATTTATATTGTAATCGATCGAGTCAATCATTTTCTGTCAACATAGGTTTACTCGTGTGTTTTATCATTTTGATTGACACGGACGGGATTGTAGATGGGTTGAATTCCACGAAGTGGGAATGGAACACATATCTTCCATATGGGATGTGAGTGTCATGGTTTTTTGGAAAGGCAACGTACGACATCACCATGGTGATACATATTTGCGTGTAATTTTAAAGGATGAGCAGGTGCATTTTGACCTCATCTTTTTGGACCATGTCTAATTTTTTTTTCTACAGACCATTGTTATCTATCTGTTGGATCTAATATTCTTACAGGGAACCAAAATGGAAGCGGTTGCGTACGGCGACCAAACCATGAGGTTCGACCGTTTGCTTCGTGTAGGAGAATGTTATGACTTCATGAGAGTTGGCTTCGCGCCTACTCATGTTGGTCCTTTGAGCTACATCTTCCGTTTATGTGCCGACTACTTTGTGGTTCTATCTCCATAAAGTATGGCTAATGCACCACCGAGAGAGCTATGGATTTATCAGTGTCCTCGTACCTTTATGGAATTCGAGGATGTATACGTTAAGCTGAGTATTTTTTTACAGGTACACGTCATACGCCTATATTTAAAAATACATGGTTACCTATTCATGCTCCTATTCCATCAATAACTATCGTTTGTGTTTGTAGATGTCATCGGTATAGTTGTGCATGTGTCTAATATTCGAGGAAGGGATGACGTGCGGATACGACCGTGCAGATATGTGGTGCTGATGAATGAAAGATACTTAGATTGAAAATTTTATCATTGCTCCATGCTATCAATTTTTTATTATTTGATGCTAATCAATTTTGTAACTCGTAGGTACCACTGCATAATAATAATCGTCAAGTATACACACATATGCCGTCACTTATCGGAATGGCGGCGAGCGGCATCAAAGTTGCGCATTTTAGCTTGCCTCCATGTACAAATAAGGCACCGTCTGGCAGGGCTTCTCCACCAGCTTCAGGAGCCGTTTGGAGCTATTTTCTGCCAAACGGGGTAAAGTGAAATAGCTTCACTGGTGAAGCCCCTAAAAATATGCTCTCACAATGATTTAGGGTGGGATGGAGCAAAAAAAAAATGGCTTCTCCCGGCTCCTCCTCCAGGCCCCTAAAAACATGCTCTCACAGGGAAGCCATTTTGCCAAATGGTTTACCAAAACCGCTTCAGCTCCACCGGTGGAACTGTTCGTGGAGCTGAAGCAAAAAAAAAAATGGCTTCACTAGTGAAGTGAAGCCCTGCCAAACGGGGCCTAAATAGAAAGAGAGGTATTGTATCACTGATGTCCTTATATGTATTGACTAAATAAAATATCAGTTATTACATTTTTTTGCTCGTACATGATAGGCGGAGTGACCACTACTGACGATTTTAGCAAATTAATATTCAGTCCTATTTGTAATCAGGCGTATGATTTTCAAAGTGATGTTCTTTTGGGGTAATTCATTGATTTAATTTATTAACTACAACACTGACCCAAAAGTTTGTTATTTATTTATAGTCCTACGTAATCGTCTGCTTATTGATGAAGCCAGACGTCACCGAGTTCAAGAATTTGCTAAGAACACCGTGTCGCGTCTCATAGATTTAGAGAACTAAATAATATTGAAATTATTTACATGCTTGTGACGTACACTTTGAATAGATGATGAACATGAATTTAGTTTAATATAATAGTTATTTTGTGCATTTTTATTTGTCAAACAAGTTCAAAATATGTGAATTGAGCAATGTTTGTCTGACATATTTGATTGCTTCATTTAGTTTGTAATATCGGAGACTTCTGGCCGATATAAAATATTATTTTAGCCGTATCACGGAAATGTCTATATAGTAGAGTTTGTGAGCCTACGGTGCCGTGCTCTTAGCGACTGTTAATTTCACAAACTTTGCTTTTTGGATTAAATATCAGTTTATTGTCTTACAGTATTATTATCTTATCGTACGATTCGTGTGTTTTTAATATAAAAATTTAGTTGTCCCATAGCAATGCATGGACACGCTACTTAGTATTATAAAAAATTTGAAATTGATACATGACTGAGACTAATTTTTGTTTCGTCAATAACACTTGTTTGTGACTCGTACTAATTTTAACATAGCCTCTAGCGGATTTCAATTCTTAAACAATCGTATCGTCACCTTGTTTAGATTTTAAGTTTTTTCACTCTCTCTCCATTACATTAAATGTATAGAGTATTAAATGTAGATAAAAAAATAACTAATTACACAGTTTGATTGTAAATTACGAGACGAATCTTTTGAGCCTAGTTAGACCATGATTGAACAATAATTGTCAAATACAAACGAAAGTGCTACAATATCAAATACTGATTCCTAACCGTGAACTAAACAAGGCCCGAGTAGTGAAGTGCACCTGCAGGGCAGTGAAAGAACAGAGAGCAAGGTAGCGGACGCAGGTACCTGAGCTGATCCGTACCATCGTGTGCACAAGTTTCCTGTCAGATAAATAGGTATTTTCATGGTCAATTTAATCCAAAAATAAAACATCAGTAGGTTCGTGACGACATATATATGCATATATATATCACTAACAAACGCTACAGCATGTAAGTATAACATACTGAACGATACAGTAAGTACGCAAAGTACGATAATCATAGAGTTAAGAGTGTACCCAGCGGAGGGTTCCATGCCGAGGGCATCGGAGGCTCTATTCGCATCAGACATAGTACGTTGCTCGAAGTCGTAGACCACAGTCGATGCAGGAAGGTGTTCGCATTGTAGTCCCACGAACGGTCACCAGGAAGAAGACACCCTCGTTTCATTCATGAGCGATCAGCAGAAGAAGAGCGGGTTCGCGGCGATCACCGAGGAAGAAGATGTCGGACGAACGATCATGAATCGCTCCCCAAAAACCTAATCGCCGCACACCCCATGCAAGGTTCGTAGGCAGACGAGGGTTCCGGAGACACCTGCTCTCCCGTCACTCCGTGCGCGCTGAGGTACGAGACGGGGTAAGCCAAAGGGCGGCTGAGATGTGGTCTCTCCGAAGCGAAAGAAAGAGAGGACTGACGGATGACATCTACTTCTATACCTGCGGCAGGGAGGGAGAAAACCAGCGAAGGATCTCACGAGACGAAGACACGAAGAGACGGTAACTAGCGCAATCAACTCGCCTTCACCATAAAGGAGAGAAACTCCCATAATTATATGGATTAAGTGGCAAAAAACGACCACGTCAAAGCCGTCCCTTCGCTCGCCGCCTCTTTGCCTTTGCCACGCACGCCCACGACTCACGCCCACAGCCACAGCCACGGACCGGCCCGGCACGGCCCGGGGCGGCGGCGCTGCGGCAGCGTGGCAATCATTGTGTCCTTTTCTCAGCTTCTCAATTAAGATGGATAATTTCCAACCAAATACGCTAAGTCAATGTTAAATCATAATCTCGTACGGTATTAAACCATACAACGCTTAATGTTATGAACCATAGAGTTTTATTTGATTTATTAAATATTATATGGGCCAAGCCCATAATATATCCAATAATCCCCAACAAACTTCAGGGTTTGTAACAAAATAGTTTCAGAACCATATTTTTTTATATACAGACTGTTAAGTTGAATATCCATCTAGAGCAATAGTTTCACTCAGTCATAACTGAACAATGGACTAAGTCTTAAATTGGCAGTTTTGTGTGAGATGAATGTCACTAAAGTCCTTAGCAGATACTAGGCTGTAAAAGGCATCCCCTCTATTTGAAGCATATAAGTCATAATCCAGTACCTTTCATTAGTATTTAGAGATCACCCAAATCTCATAGACTGTGACTAGCAGTCTGACCTATATAGGTGTGTTCCTCAAAAGATGTTCTATAGGACAACATCTTTACTTTAGCAAGCCACTTGAAACACATTAAGGTAAAAACCAACCTGTCTTACACAAAAGAAAGATATGCATCAGAAATAAGTCTTACTAAGGATCTTTCCTCATAATTTACTACTAGCTTGTTTCACCATCCTACTTCACGGGATCTTCAATCACGTAGAATAGGTTACCACTATAGTAAATTTCATGTGGGTCTCAAACACATCTCTCTCGATGCACTTTCTATCATATTGCGTGACATACCCTTAGTGAATTGATCTGCCATATTGTTAGACGTGTGAACATAATCCAACGCTACTACTCCGGAGTTTCTCAATTTTCTGACAGATTTTAGTTGTCTCTTAACATGCCTTGTGAACTTCATGTTATCCATAGAACTGTTAACCTTCGTAATCACAGTCTGGTTATCACAGTTCATAGAAATAGCCGGTATGGGTTTTTCAACAACAGGTAAATCCATAAGGAGATCACGAAGCCACTCGGCTTCAGAGCCAGCGGTGTCTAATGCTGTGAGTTCTGCTTCCATTGTAGACTTCGTTCAGATAGTCTGTTTGCAAGACTTCTAGGAAACACCACCACCTCCAAGCGAAAACACATATCCACTTGTGGCATAAAGCTCATCAGCATCAGAGATCCAGTTGGCATCACAATAGCCTTCCAGCACCTTCGGGTGTCCGGTATAACGAATACCATAGCTCATACTGCCTTTTAGATAGCGCGTCACTCTCTCAAGAGCACGCATGTGATCATCTATCGGGTTTGACACAAACCGGCTCAGCTTGCACACAGCAAATGAGATGTCAGGCCTTGTTGCACTAGCAAAATACATGAGCGAACCAACGATTTAGGAATATCTCAATTGATCCCTTGCTATTCTCCGATTTTTCCTTAATAGCACACTAGGGTCATAAGGTGCAGGAACAGGTTTACAGTCACTAAACCCAAAGCGACTCAGCACATTTTCCACATAGTGGGATTGTAACAGAGTTACCCCACCATCACCTTCTCTCAGAAGCTTAATATTAAGAATAACATCAGCCTCTCCTAAATCTTTTATTTCAAAATTATTAGATAAAAATTTCTTCACCTCCTCAATCACTTTGAGAATGGATCCAAAGATTAGTATATCATCAACATATAAGCACAAAATAACTCCTTCACCCCACCATTTCTTAGATAGTCCCGCAGTCTCTAACATAGAATTAACCAAATCAGTTAGAGTGCGGTTCTTTCTCTCTATAATCCCATTGCACTGTGGTGAGTATGGTGACGTCATCTCATGAATAATTCCATGCACTGCGCAAAACTTAGAAAATTCATTTGAGAAATATTCTCCCTTGTGATCGAACCGCTAACGTTGGATTTTCTTCTCAAGTTGATTTTCTACCTCGGCTTTATAGACTTTAAAATAATGCAACGCTTCATCTTTAGTTTTCAATAAATACACGTAGCAAAATCTAGTACAATCATCTATAAATGTCATGAAGTATCGTTTACCGTCTTTAGTCAATTCGCTATTCATCTCGCATAAATCAGAATGACTAAGTTAAATTTTGGGGCTTGCGTGTATATCACTAACAAACGTTACAGCATGCAAGTATGACATAC